TGTGTGTGTGTGTGTTTCCTGAGGCTGTTAAACTGTAATTCAGCAGCAATTTGTTTCTTTTTGTGAGATTTAATATGAAAATATGAGGTTTTCTGTGCAGGGTCACAGCGAGGACGCCGACGTCGAGTTCTGAACAGTTTTAGAAAACATTTAAAAACAAAAATAAATAAATAACACATGGTGTTTTTAGACTGAAAATAAAATATAAATATATAAATATAAAAATAAAATGGATGTTCAGTAAAATCCACAGAAGATTTTTAAGTGTGAAAAAAAGTTTTTGACATAAAATATAATTAAACATTAATCAGAATTACAAAATATGTAATTAAAATGTTTAAAAGACATAATTTCTGGTTCTTTTGAGAGAGTTAACCCTCACTTCACTTCAACCCCAAAGCAACCACCTAGCAACCCCGTAGCAACAGAAGCTGGTATACCCTAGCAACCACATAAAAAGCCCTACACATTAAAATAATGGTTTCTACCAACTGAATAACCTCTTTATTTAGGTCTTTTTTGAACTACTACTAATAATATATAATAATAATAGCATATAATTAGTGCTACAACCAACGATTATTTTAACATTTAACCACACAAGCTGAAACCCTTAAATATAAAGTTAATAACCTAAAACTGAGACTACACAACTTCATAGTTTGATTTCAGTATTTTTTTAATTTAAATATTTAACTGTGACTAGTTTTAACCCAGCAAAACTAAATATTCATTTATTTAACAGCAGTTTTTAATCCCTGGCAGTAAGTTTTAAAATAGTATTTACAGAAACTATAATTCAGCAGAAAAGTATTTAAATAAAACAAATGAAATAAATTAGATCATTTTAAGGAGTGTTACTATGGTAAGTAGTGTTATACTATTATAGTAGTGTTTTAACTAAAATTACTAACATCCTAAAACAAAATCAACATGTTTCAAAATAAAAGCTCAACCCTCAGAGGTGATGTTTCATACTGTAAATGTTATATATCTGATTGTTGAAGCAGCCGTCTGCTAACCATCTCAGTTATTTATTTATTCATTTATCTGTATTTTAATTGAATTATCTGTATTTTAGTTTGACATCGTGAGGATCCGTTACGTTGTTTTCATGTAGTTTCTGAGGATTTTCTGAGTTTGTGTCTGACTTCAGTACTTTATTCTCCCGCTGTGACATGTGAGCGTCCCCACAGTGTCTTCATTTACCAGCAGTGATGGACAGACAGTCGGTCAGACAGACAGTCAGTCAGTCAGACAGACAGGTATAACTCATGTCAGTGTTGTCCTGGTTGATGCTGTCAGGATGAGTGGAAGTGGGTCAGTGTGTGTTGTGACAGATGGCGTTCAGCCTCCTTTAAGGTCTGAGAAACAGAAACAATGCTGAATGTTAAACATTCGTCTGCCTCATCAAAACTTCACTACATTTCCCATGATGCCTTTCAGCATCAGCAGCTCCAGTGTAAGAGGGAAGTAATTATTTCCCTCATAGAAGAGAAACATAAAACCAATAATTTAAAGTTCGAAAATCAATCGGTTGTAAGAAAACCAAAATTAAACTTAATCCAGTCAACAAAAGTCTTAAAGGAATAATTTAACATACTGCGACTCAGAACTGATAAAAGATAAAAGAGCTTCAGACTTAATAAAAGAGAACAATAATAAAAACACTAATATAAATAACTACTAGAATAAATAAGATCAAAATGAAAGTAAAAACATTATTTCATGTACATTACCGTACAGACAGAAACAAACATCCAAACTCACAATAACTAAATCAATAACTGTATTGATACCAACATATCATCCTAACAACGTTATTTTACTGTCACTAGAAGCACATTCACACTGTTTGTATATTGTAATATCTATACTTTACAAAATGTTCAGACATAAAAACCCACAATAACGTAATCAATAACCGTATTGATACCAAAACATCGTCCAGACAACATTTTGTGACTCTTTCTTTCTAAACGAGGAATCGAACTTGTGACCTGCTGCCGCTATTGATCTCTGATCAGGGCGGAACAACTGGGTTAACATGTAAACCAGGACAACCACTCTGGACCCGAGTTTCTGGGTTACAGCGCACACACACACACACACCAACACCACACGTTAAACATCCCACTGGATGAGTGACACATGTTTGGGTACCTCGAGGGGGAATCTGTATTGATTGGCCTGGAACAGTTATCCATCCCATGATTAGAGAAGAGAGAGAGGAGTGTGTGTGTGTGTGTGTGTGAGTGTGTGAGTGTGTGTGAGTGTGTGTGTGTGTGTGTGGTGGTGTGTGTGTGTGTGTGTGTGTATGATTGAACCTTTGATGTTGTCAACCGGGCCGGAGAGACACTGAGCATGCTCAGAGCGACTGTGTGTGTCACAGATAAATGATCAGCCTGCAGCTTCCTGTTGTCATTCTGCATTAATCAATATCCTCAGAGCAACAACAGAATGTCTCTAACACAACTACAGAACTATTAAATATATATAAATGTGTTTAAAGTATCAGTAAAGTAA